TTTTGCTGGCAGGGCTTGTGACTCCATGGGGGATCCACACTGGAGCAGTTTGTGAAGAACTGAAGCCCGTGGGAAGGACTTACGTTGGAGAAGTTCATGGAGGACTGTCTCCTGTGGGTGGGACCCCACACTGGAGCAGGGGAAGAGTGTGAGGAGTCCTCCCCCTGAGGAGCAAGGAGCAGCAGAGACAAACTGTGATGAACTGACTGCAACCCCCATTCCCCATCCCCCTGCGCCCCTCGGGGGGAGGAGGCAGAGAAATAAGGAGTAAAGTTAAGCCTGGGAAGAAGGGAGGGGTGGGGGGAAGGTGTTTTAAGATTTAGTTTTTATTTTCTCATTACCTTATTCTCATTTGACTGGTAGTAAGTTAAGCTAATTTCCCCAAGTCGAGCCTGTTTTGCCCGTGACGGTAACTGGTGAGTAATATCTCTCTGCCCTTATCTTGACCCACAAGCCTTTTGTTATATCTTCTCTCCCCTGTCCAGCTGAGGAGGGGAGTGATAGAGTGTCTTTGGTGGGCACCTGACATCCAGCCAGGGTCAACCCACCACAAGTGTTTTTTTTAAGGAACACAGGATATTTCTGTAGAGGTTAGATATATTGGCCAGGTTCTTACAGCATTCCTTGGTCTTGATAGTTTTGGAGGAATAAAGATTTGGGAATCTTTTCTAGAGTCAAGACATTTCTTGGCAATTTGGAGTTTCTTTCTTGTGAACTACCATCTTTGTTAGTTGAAATTCTTTGGTTTTCACCAGATGGGCTTATTGCAGTCTTTTCATGATTTATTTTCATCAGCATAAATATTTGAAGGATTATCTGCATTGATAGGAACCTGTTTTGAAATGGTCTAAGGAAAACAAGAGAAACAGTTATGAAAAATCAGGAGAAACAATGACTATTTAAAAGCTCTATTTTTTTATTTCCATTGGGGTATTTAAAGCAGATTGCATGAATAAAAAACCTAGCACATAATGTATGGTCAGCAGAAAATATGCTAAATGGGATTGTAGTCTAACATAGCAGTAGACAAAAGAGGTTTTTCCAATATATTTGGCATATTGGCAGATCTTCTAGTTGATTAAAAGAACGGATGAAGTACTATACTTAACATTATATGTACTTTCTTTATACTTCATATAAATAAATCTAATTTACACCAGATTTCAGAATTTGCATTTCATTTTCAGTTTAGTAAATCACTTACAAGCAATGAAAAGCAACATGACATAGAAAGAAAATTAAAATTGGAAA